TGCAGGCATGAGCCACCATGCCCGGCCATGTAAATGAAATCTTACAAAAGTGAGTATATAGTGTATGATTTCTTTACATTCAGCACTAAATCATAAATATCATCATAATACAATATAATAAGGCTAATTGATCTTTTTACTTTTCATCTGAAAGTTCAATAATTTGATATATTCCTGGATAAAAATAAACTCATCCAATAACAATACCTTTTTAAAATAATAAAATTTATAATCTTCACCAAAATTTCACTGGGGGCCTTTGAAACAGAAAAAAATTATGTTAAAATATTTGGGAGAGAAAGTATGTGTGACAACTGTTGAAATTGTTGATAATAGGATGAGAATTTTAAAAATTAGTATTCCATTTAAAGTTATTTTAATTAAAAAATATTAGAGTAGCAATAGAAATTTGCTTAATGGAACACAAGAGAATCTAAAACAGATTATAAGAATTTCTTATGCTGTGAAATTATTATCTGATAAATATAGCAAACTACTAGATTGTTAATGAATAAGGCTTATAAATTGACTTATTCATATTAAAAATAAAATTAGATTCTTAACACTCTGCAAAAATAATTCCAGCTTTATTCCAAATACTAAAATAAATTATAGGCTGTAATATTCAGTAGAAAATTAGAAAAAAAATTTAGAAATTTCCAGTTTCATCTACTGCAAATAAAAACTAAGACATAAATAACCTACCGTACAAAATAACAGAAAATTGGAATACGGGGGATATCTAAGGTCTAGAAAATAGAAACCTTTGAAACCAAGCAGAAAGTCTATTTAAGGAAAGGAAAATAATTGATAAGGTTTATTACCTAAAATATATATATGCATAGAAGCATATTACTTCACATATATATACATACATTATTTTGCAGAAATAATTAAGGCAAATGCTTCACTGTGAGAAAGCATTTTCAATGTGTGTGACAATTATAGCACTAAAATATTAAAGATAGAAAAGACTACCAAAGAGATGTTCAAAGATCAGAAATGAAAAAGATACAATGGTAGGTAAAAAACACAGGCAGTGTTTGAGAGTGTACCCCTAACAACAGGTGTAGAGAGAGGATTGTATGTCCATTCTCTCAGAAATATTGAGCCTCTGAATAGTTTGCTGACATGATAAATGATAAATATGTATATACGTATGCTTTTAAGCCGTTCAGAGTGTAAAATGTAGCTGTGATTTTTTGTGTCTGCTTAAGTCTTAGCTGTACAAGTTTCCTCTAGATATCTCAGACTTCTCAAATCACCATGAAATCCCCATTAGAATATTCTAGACTCAAAAAAGTTTTTGAAACTCAAGTTTTAGACTCAAGTTTTCAAAGTAAAATCAGAGTAAATCTGGATTCTCTTCTAGAACTACAAATAAATAGACTCTTAGCAACATAGTACCTATGGATCAATAGTTAAATAGTGCCTTACTTCTCTCCTGTACAGAATTCTTATGCCTCTGCTGAAGAGGTCTCATAGACCATCTTACTTACATTATAGAGGGATTTTCCTTTTTTTTTTTTTTTTTTTATAGTAGGGACTTTCAGTTAAACTCTTCACTCTATTATTGTAATAATACCCTCTAGAAAGGCTTATTGAAAAATGAAACCCAAGTTTATTGGCAATGTTTGTGGATTTCTATGTGATCAACTAATGATACTGATGAATTATAATTGTATTCATTTTGAAAGTGTTATAGCAACTATATCAGTGAATTTTATACTAGCTTTCATTGGGTACTGAGGGATTATTAGAGAGAAGGACTATGTCAAACTTGAGTCTTCCTACCACCTGTTTTTCCAAAGCAATTCTGGTTTTTTTGTTTTAAGCCGAGTTTGGGTTTGAACCTGCCACCTCCTGCATATGGGGCTGGCACCGTACTCCTTTGAACCATAGGCACCCCCCAGTAATTCTGGTTTTTTATGGCTTTTCTGTACCAAAAAGGCAGAAAGATGTTGTTTTTAAGGTATTATACAAATGTATAACCTAGATCCTTCAGGAGAATTCTCAATATTCTGAGAAAAGAAGAATTCAAAATTTGTAAAAAAAAAAAAAAAAAAAGTAAGTTACAAGATAGAATTACTAAATAGAAACTTCAGCAGAACTTAAGTATTAGAAGAAACAGAGGGAAGGGAAGAAGCAGGGAACAAAGAGGAAAGATAACTTTATTATAATTCTTTTCTCATAAGTAGAAAAACATCAGCAAAGTAATTTACCCCTTTACTGAGGAGATGTCTGAGGGCAAAATTCTTACTACTTCATAAATGGTGGCTTTTCTTTGAATATAGAAATCATGTAAGTCAGGGCTCCATATGTTCCCAGAGATTAACTTGGAGCTTGTGAACCTTCACATTTCATTTTAAAATTGTGTTTGTACAAGGATGAGAAGGATGAAAATATGTCAATTATATGATTAAATTTTAATTGACTTTACTAATTCCAAGTCCACATTATTTCCTTCTTCCGGGAACATTAATAGATCTGAGAGCCAAACAATCTGTGGGTAATGGGCATTACATAATGAGTTGCATCACTTCTCACCAGAGAGTGCAGAAACTCTCTGAACTCTAGTAATATAACTACACATTCACGTAAGAAAGAAAGAGAAAGAACATTAATAGTTGGACAGTTTCTGGCAAATTTACCATCATGTTTTTAATCCACCACTTGGCATGAATTTTTTAGCTTTTTAAAATTCAGACAAAAATTCTACAAAACAATGTCACCTTATGTAAGAAATAAAACAAAAATCTAAACTTGTAGGGTTAAAATGCACAGGGAAACTAACACAGAACTTGGTATATATTAAACATTCATCACACATCTGCTAAATAAATAAATTCTGCCAATCTGCTATACTCCCCAATCCAAATATTATCTCTATTCTATAAGAATGTTCGAAAAGTCTCTTATTCCTGGCAATAACAAATCCAGAGATAACACAGCTACCTACACCCCAAATGATCATTTTACTTATTGGCCAACTAATGTCACCATGTTGACTAGAATTAAATGTCAAGTAGGAATATTTTTTATTGCTCTGAAAGGAAATTTGTCACTAAAGCTTATGAATATCTTAGACACACCGCTCTTAATCACCAGTCACAAATAAAGAAAGAAATGTCTCCATAATTACCATGCTTTGCTTCTGTCTCCGTTTTGGAATTTATTAGACCCCTCATTTGGGGGGTTGCCAATCTGCTTTTAACACCAGATTGTCTTACAAGGGTACATGTGAAATTTACTAGGTGTAGAATATAAATGTCTTAACACAATAAGACAGTGCAGTGAAGGCTGTGTTGACCAGTTTGATGAAAACATTTCAAATTAT